CCACCCCAAATCAAGGTCCCACCACCCCCAATGAGGTCCCACCACCTTCAATGAGGTCCCACCATCCCAACCTGAGGTCCCACCACCCAAATCTGAAGTTCCTCCACCAAATTTGAGGTCCCACCACCAAATTTGAGGTCCCACCCCCCAGGTCTGAGGACACCCTGGTGGCCCGCCGTGGTCACCTCGTTGTAGTCCAGCGAGGAGTCGTTGCAGAGGGCGCAGATGGTGGCCAGTTCCACCAGACCATCGTATTGACCAGCCTTGACCGGCCGGTCCTGCTTCAACCTGGAGAAGACATCGAGGTGGACGTGGTGGTCAAAGAGGGACAGAGAGGACCTCGAGGTCATCGAGGGTCAAGGGGAGGTCGGGTGGCATTTGGGGACCTTCTGGTGGAATTTGAGAAGGTCTTGAGAACCTCCCAGAAGGTTTTGAGGACCTCTGAGAAGGTTTTGAGAACCTTCAAGAAGGTTTTGAGGACCTTCCAGAAGGTCTTGAGAACCTCCCAGAAGGTTTTGAGGACCTCTGAGAAGGTTTTGAGAACCTTCGAGAAGGCTTTGAGGACCTTCCAGAAGGTCTTGAGAACCTCTGAGAAGGTTTTGAGGACCTTCAAGAAGGTCTTGAGGACCTCTGAGAAGGTTTTGAGGACCTTCAAGAAGGTCTTGAGGACCTCTGAGAAGGTTTTGAGGACCTCTGAAGAGGTTTTGAGGACCTCTGAAGAGGTTTTGAGGACCTTCAAGAAGGTTTTGAGGACCTTCAAGAAGGTCTTGAGAACCTCTGAGAAGGTCTTGAGGATCTCTGAGAAGATTTTGAGGACCTTCAAGGAGATTTGAGGACCTCTGAGAAGATGTTGAGAACCTCTGAGAAGGTTTTGAGGGTCTGGAGACCTTGGGGTGGATTTTGAGGACCTCTGAGGTGACATTTGGGGACATCTCCAACTCACACTTCTCCTTCTGGGGCGTAGGTGGAGCCGGTGATGGAGAACTCGTTGAGGGAGCAGACGTCGCCCTCCACCTTGTCCATGATGAACATCTGGGGACAAACGGGGACATTTGAGGACCTTGGAGGACACGGGAGGTTCCTGGGCAGAAGAACCTAAAGGTTCTCCATGGACATTTTGGGTTCTCCATGGACATTTTGGGTTCTCCATGGACATTTTGGGTTCTCCAAGGACATTTTGGGTTCTCCATGGAATTTTGGGGTCTCCATGGACATTTTGAGGTTCCTGGAGGAACTTTGGGTTCTCCAGAAGAAATTTTGGCTTCTCCAGAAATACTTCTGAGGTTCCTGGAGGAACTTTGGGTTCTCCAGAAGAACTTCTGGGGTTCTCCATGGAAATTTTGAGGTTCCTGGAGGAACTTTGGGTTCTCCAGAAGAACTTTGGAGGTTTCTGGAGGAACTTTGGGTTCTCCATGAAATTTTGAAGGTTCTCCATGGACATTTTGGGTTCTCCATGGACATTTTGAGGTTCCTGGAGGAACTTTGGCTTCTCCAGAAGAACTTCTGAGGTTCCTGGATGAAATTTTGGAGGTTCTCCATGGACATTTTGGGGTTTCCATGGACATTTTGAGGTTCCTGGAGGAACTTTGGCTTCTCCAGAAGAACTTCTGAGGTTCCTGGAGGAATTTTGGGTTCTCCAGAAGAACTTTTGAAGTTCCTGGAGGAACTTTGGTTTCTCCATGGAATTTTCAAGGTTCTCCATGGACATTTTGGTTTCTCCATGGACATTTTGGGTTCTCCATGAAATTTTGGAGGTTCTCCATGGACATTTTGAGTTTCTCCATGGACATTTTGGTTTCTCCATGGACATTTTGGGTTCTCCATGGAATTTTGGAGGTTCTCCATGGACATTTTGGGTTCTCCATGGACATTTTGGTTTCTCCATGGAATTTTGGAGGTTCTCCATGGACATTTTGGGTTCTCCATGGACATTTTGGGTTCTCCATGGAAATTTTGAGGTTCCTGGAGGAACTTTGGTTTCTCCATGGAATTTTCAAGGTTCTCCATGGACATTTTGGTTTCTCCATGGACATTTTGAAGGTTCTCCATGGACATTTTGGGTTCTCCATGGACATTTTGGGGGTTCTCCATGGAATTTTGGAGGTTCTCCATGGACATTTTGGGGTCTCCATGGACATTTTGAGGTTCCTGGAGGAACTTTGGGTTCTCCAGAAGAAATTTTGGCTTCTCCAGAAGAACTTCTGAGGTTCTCCATGGAAATTTTGAGGTTCCTGGAGGAACCTTGGGTTCTCCAGAAGAACTTTGGAGGTTTCTGGAGGAACTTTGGGTTCTCCATGAAATTTTCAAGGTTCTCCATGGACATTTTGGTTTCTCCATGGACATTTTGGGTTCTCCATGAAATTTTGGAGGTTCTCCATGGACATTTTGGTTTCTCCATGGACATTTTGGTTTCTCCATGGACATTTTGAGTCCTCCATGGAAAACCCCCGGGAATTTCGAGAAGGTCCCACCTTGCAGACGGACATCTGGTTGGTGGTCAGCGTGCCGGTCTTGTCGGAGCAGATGACCGAGGTGCAGCCCAGGGTCTCCACCGAGGGCAAGCTGCGGACGATGGCGTTCTTCTTGGCCATGCGACGAGTGCCCAGGGCCAGGCAGGTGGTGATGACCGCGGGGAGACCTGGGGAGGTCACCAGGGAGGTCAGCAGAAGCTTCTGGTGGTCATCAGAAGCTTCTGGTGGTCAGCAGAAGCTTCTGGTGGTCATTTGGAGATCTCCAGTTGACCACGGGTGAGGTTTGAAGGTCAGGAGGTGGGCAGGGATGGTTGGTGGGTGGACATGAGTTGATGAGTGACCGTGGGTGGTCCATAGGTGACCCGGATGGTCTCCAAACCCCATAAATGACCAGGAATGGTCCATAAATGACCACGGATGGTCTCCAAAACCCCATAACCACCTCCAACCTTCTCCAAAACCCCATAACCACCTCAAATCACCTCAAGCCTTCTCCATAACCACCTCAAACCTTCTCCAAGCCACCTGGAACCTTCTCCAAACCCCAAAACTGACTATGAATGGTCCATAAATGACCATGAATGATCTCCAAAACCCCATAACCTTCTCCAAACCATCTCAACCCTTCTCCAAACCATCTTGAACCTTCTCCAAAACTCCATAAATGACCACGGATGGTCTCCAAAACCCCATAACCACCTGCAATCTTCTCCAAACCTTCTCCAAACCATCCCAAATCTTCTCCAAACCCCATAACCACCTCCAACCTTCTCCAGAACCACCTGGAACCTTCTCCAAACCCCATAAATGACCACGGATGGTCTCCAGAACCCCATAAATGACCACAAATGGTCTCCAAACTCCCATAACCACCTCCAACCTTCTCCAAACCTTCTCCAAACCACCCCAAACCTTCTCCAAACCCCATAATTACCTCCAACCTTCTCCAAACCTTCTCCAAACCAACTCCAACCTTCTCCAAACCACCTCCAACCTTCTCCAAACCTTCTCCAAACCACCTCCAACCTTCTCCAAAACCCCATAACCACCTCAAACCTTCTCCAAACCACCTCCAACCTTCTCCAAAACCCCATAACCACCTCCAACCTTCTCCAAACCATCCCAAACCTTCTCCAAACCCCATAACCACCTCCAAGCCCCCCGAGATACCCTCAGGAATGGCCGCCACCGCCAGCGCCACGGCGATCTTGAAGTAGTAGATGGCCCCACCTCCATAACCACCTCCAACCTTCTCCAAACCTTCTCCAAACCACCTCCAACCTTCTCCAAAACCCCATAACCACCTCCAACCTTCTCCAAACCTTCTCCAAACCATCCCAAATCTTCTCCAAACCCCATAACCACCTCCAAGGCCCCCGAGATACCCTCAGGAATGGCCGCCACCGCCAGCGCCACGGCGATCTTGAAGTAGTAGATGGCCCCGCGGATCCAGGAGCCGCCGTGGACGGGGTCGTTGAAGTGGCCGATGTTGATGGCCCAGACGGCCACACAGATGAGGGAGATGACCTTGGACAACTGCTCGCCGAACTCGTCCAGCTTCTGCTGCAGGG